CCTTGTAAGACGATTGCGTTGTGCATCGCCATCGACCTTGTTCGCGTCACTTAAAATATTTTTACCAACAATAAAACCCTTGATCCAACATCAAGAGGTTCTTTTTCTCATAAAAATACAATAAATATGTGATTAGGTTTATACACCATGGACTTTAAGGTTGTGGAGAAGGAATGAGAATGGAACCCTCCTACACTCGTTCCGAATGTTTTGAATACAAGGCGCTCGACTTGGCTATTCGAAACATTCATCTCTATCCAAAGTCTTTTGTGTAATCCTAATAAAAACAATATTTTCTCAAAAACCTAAAAATAACATCAACTCATCAAACTTCTTTTCGCCTTAGGGCATCAATCCGAAAACCCTTTTTAAAGGTATAAAAACAACCAACAAAAAATCATTTCTCAAGTGGCCGAACTACGGCTGCTCTGATTTCTCATATATGTTGAGAATACGTAGGCATAGGATTGTGATGATCCTAGCGAGCACTCTTCTTTCTTTTCCACCTTTAGTCTTCCATTCCTCATCATCCAAAAAAGGACATGTTACGTCGTTCTACCGCAAACAGGTAACGACTAAGTCTCCACGAGCGAGCTGCAATACACCTAACTGCTAGAATGCGCACGTTAGCATTGTCCACCTAAACTTCCCATCTTTCACCGTAGTCTCGTGAACTACGAATGCTCTGATTCTTCACTTCTTACAAGTGAATATACGTAAGCACAAGGGCCCCAATCCTTGGCGAGCACTATGATAAAAAACCAACCCCTCTTTTCTTTTAAGCAAACAAACTTTTAATAAAAACACCTATTCAAGCGAAACAACCTAGAAGGTTCCCATCGAGTACGATGGATGCGATGGGTGCTAATACCTTCCTCTCATATAACCGACTCCCGAACCCTAAGACTTGGTTGCGATGACCATGCTCTTTTCCCTAAAGGTTTTATCGCTATTTCCCTTTCCCTCCTTGGGATAAATAAAATCCGGTGGCGACTCTGTGTCATTTTTCGCGTAGCGACACACACATACACACACACACACACACACACACACACACACACACACACACACACACACACACACACACACACACACCCACACACACACACACATATATATATATATATATATATATATATATATATATATATATATATATATATATATATATATATATATATATATATATATATATATATATATATATATATATATATATATATATATATATATATATATATATATATATATATATATAATCAATCAATCAATGCTCGCACACTAACATCACCCATGACAATCTTAATTTGTCTCATTCAAGTGATAGTACATGATTTATGATTACCCAAATAAACAAATCCAAAATTACCTGACCAGAATATAAGAGAATGGCCATATCTACTTAAATTAAAAACCTAAGTCATTAAACAATCTTCAATTATTAAATCTTGACAATTAAAGTTTGTGTTAAAAATTTGAGTTATCAAATTGTCCCCCAAAATGCCATGTTTCAACTTTCCTTTTAATCAAAAAGGAGAAAAGTGACATTTGTGAAATTGTTTTCGACACTTTTCAAATCCTTTCGCTGACGCCAGTGTCATCATTACAAATTTAATGCACATTTTCACTTCGACAAGATTTCTTAAAAAATTGCATCATTACTCCTATTTCATAAGAGATTATATGTTTGCATGATTTTACCAACTTCTCAACTTCTATCAACTCTTTCACTTCTATAAATACTCCTTTCATACACTCTTTCAATCTTCTTCACTCACGCTTAACAATTTTACACATAGAAAGAAAACTTATCTCGTACCAAGCTTCTCAAGACTTAAAAATGGCAACTTCCACTTCAACCCTCAAAACAGACACCAGCAAAAATCCTTTGGCATTCGTGATTCCGACATCATAAGATGACAAAGGGAGAAATTTTGTACCTGAACCACCATTGGCCAAAGATAAAATCACCATTTAGGCGAAATAGGCACTCATTCCCTTCTCCCTTTCTGATAAACTCTTGGAATTCTTAGGACCATTTTTGATGGTTAAGTCTCACCTTGGGAAGGTGAAGAACTTCTTCCCATGCTAACCTTTCGCCATGCCTTCTGCATCAGAAGAACACTCTTGACCTATCCTTCATAGAAACTCTTACATATGTTTTCTGATGAGCACTTCCGTTCCAAAATAAGAACTACATCGCCTGGCTCGATAAGGTCCAAAATAATAAGAAAAAACAATGGGAAGACCTAGGTATTTTTGACGTAATCCAAATATCTAGAACTGGCCCTAAGTATTAACCCTTCCATATTACTTGCGTCGATATTCTTTTGGGAAGGTTCGACCGACACATTTCAATTCCCCTGTGGAATGCGTACACCGAATCTGTTTGACGTAGAAGCTATCACGGGACTTTGGCCTACAGGTGAAACCTTCACCCCCATAATAGAAAATGTGAATGAGTTCGTTTTCGAACGATGTCGCTTCAAAAATTACATCACCGACCACCATAAGAAAAACACTGAAGAAGTTTACGACCAAGAGCATATTACCTTCTTGACTTTCTGGCTTTCTTATTATTTCTTTTTCTCAAGCTATTTATATATAGCCAAAAATTATGTCCCTTTAGCAATCCAACTCCATGGGGGTTGAATGATCTCTCTGGATAAATTACTTTTAGCCATTTTATATTAACCAACTGGAAACACTTCCTACAAACTGAAACACCTCCCTGAAACCAACGAAACATATCTTCTTTCTAGTCCATTATGGCTTCTACAACTTTGGTTGAATGCCACATTCAAACCAAAGTTATACATATCTTCTTTCTGGTCCCTTATGGCTTATACAAGCTTTGATGGAAGAGAATGAATGCAAGAGCATCGAAGGCACTAGACTTGCCCTAACTATCTTATATGATACTCCTTTAGAAATAACTTTCGTGAAGTGCATTAATTTGTTCCTCGAATCAAAAATCTTCATCTCAACCATGGCCTCTTTAATGGATATGGCCTAACCTGGTTTGGAAACAGGTTTCCTGGCATAACTTCCTCAGCTGCTGCAATGTCGAACTCTGTTTGAAATGCCTTTTTAACTCCTACGCACCTCCCCACTTGAATCGAGATGGGAGTTGTTGGCTTTAGATTCATCGGCTACCAACCCAAACTTGTGGCAAGGCAATTTGGTTTCAGCCAAATGTTGCCAAAGTCACTTTATACTTGGAGAACGACATCTGCTGGTTGGAGAGGAAGTTTTATAATTTATGGTACAGAGATTGCTTGTCGTTCACCCGACAACAAGTCCTTGAACTTCCTACATTTCATTCCCAAACCTCCTTTTACTCAACTGCGGAGTTTAATAACTGGTGGTCAAACCATTTCGAAGGAAACTTCTCTGAGGAAAACTTCCACAATAGGTTGTCAATTGCCTTTTCCAACTGGCAAGAGAACCCCGGAAAAAAAAGCAGGTACATACTAACCAATTATTAAAATTATTTTCATTCATACTTTAGACTTCTCATATGTTTTTGTTGTAGGTGAAACTAAAACATTGAGTGAAGCTAATGTCAAAGGCCCCTCAAATGCTGGTGAAGCAAAAAAAGAAGAAGAACCCCAACAGAAAAAGGAAAGTCTTTTCCCATTTGTACATTAGCTAATTTCGAAATGACTCTAACATGCCATTTTCCTTCAAAATTGAAAACATGCTCTAGAGTCCCCAACAACCATCAAACTCACGAAGAAGGAGAAATTCAAAAAAGCTACCTCGACACAGATATGTGTATGATTCCCTTACGTCATGACTTTGATAATTCGGTATTGCTTTACACAATGATTTCAGGAAATTTGATTTCTTGATTCTACCCAACTAATGAACCCATCATGTTTCTTTAGAACAATTAGAGGATTTTTTTGTTGTAACTTTGAACAATTCTTTGATTTAAATCCCATACGATAAAATAATATATGGAAATACCTAAGTATTCTACATGACATAGGGCCTTCAAATAAGTTGAGATAATTCATCCTATGCCATGTAAAAGGCCAAAGAGAAGTGTAAGAGGTCATGGTGTTAGGCGGTGTTATGTTAATGTCTCCATGTTTATATCACTTGTATCACTTTTCAAATCTCTTCAGTATCATATTTCATATTAGTAACATTATATGCTCTTAAGATCTTCTTGGAGAAGGCTTTCAATCCTAGGTGGTGTATGAATGTTCCCTCATGAGTCTATTAGATGACAGATATTTCCTTTTTTCATTAAAACACTTATGGAGTGGATTAAAGAAACTTTTGCTTTTGTGGGTACTCCAATGATTATTGTCTTTTTTCTCCATGCATATTTCTTCCCCATAATTTTGGATTTTAGAATCCATAAAAAAATCAATTTGGTGAATAGCTGCAAGATACATTACGTAGAAAGGGATGTTTAATAGCACTGTTTTACACTTTTAAGCGCTATTAATCTCATGACAAACATAGAAAATGGGAGAAAGGGATGTTTAATAGCACTGTTTTACACTTTCAATTTTTGTTGATATGTGGCTCCAATATTTTTGATCCCCAACATCTTGACAGTTCTAAAAGACAAAAGATTTGTTTTCTACTTATTATTTTTCAAAGATACCCACAAAATAACCTTGGCATGCATTGAAATTGGCTTCCATTGTAACTACTACATATATGAAACGGGTCCACATTTTACATCAAATAAAAAAACCAATGTAAAAAGTCAATTTTGAATTACCTTAAAAGTCTTTGTAGAAGTGCAAATAATGGTAAAATGAAATGTTTATCTTTCATGTCATACTTCAAGCATTTAATTAATATGCAAATTTAATATCCTAGCTAAATGCAATTATACTAATCAATACATACCGGAGACGCAAACATAAATATAACATTGAAAACAAACTAGCAACAGTTGTTAAGTATAATACATTATATAAAGTCTATGTGCTAGTTTCCATTAGAAACTAACAAAGTCAGTAACAACATCTGACTCAATCAGTAACAGCATTTGACTCAAATTCATCAGAGGTTACTTCGAGATCTTTCTGAATCATTTCATTTGGATATAGAGAAGGTTTTGGAGGAATTTCAATGTTGTCAATATTCCCTTCTAGCATCTCAATTACTTTATCCATTGGAGGACGATCACTTGGTTTTAATTGTATACACCACAACGCAGTTATGAACATCTTTTTCACGTTAATCATTTCTTCATTTGTAATTTCGTCCATTTCAATGTCTTTTTCTTCAACCAATTGGTTGTAGACCCAAAAAGGAAAGAAAAGCTGGCTTGAATGTTCTGCATGTGGATTTAAATTTCTTCTCTTACTTGCCATTTCCATCAAAAGCATTCCAAAGCTATATACATCAGCCTTGTAGGATACTCCTCCAATATTTTGATAAAATAATTCAGGAGCCATATAACCAATTGTACCTCTTGCTGCAGTCAAAGTGACAATGCTAATGTCATTAGGATAAAGTTTCGCAAGGCCGAAGTCTGAAACTTTGGGGATAAAATTCTCGTCCAGAAGGATGTTATGTGGCTTGATGTCAAAATGCAAAATTTGCATGTCACATCCTTGATGTAAATAAGCAATCCCACGGGCCACTCCAAGAGATATGTCAAACATTTGTTTATAAGTTAGAGTGATAACATTCTCTGTAGAAGAAATGTATTTATCAAGAGAACCATTGGGCATGAATTCATAAACAAGAGCTCGTTTTGATCTTTCCACACAAAATCCAATAAGTCGAACCACATTGGTGTGATGTATTCTTCCTATGGTTGCGACTTCGTTGATAAAATCTTGTCCATTACCTTTTGATTTTCCCAACATCTTTATGGCTGCAAATGGTCCACTGCGAAGCTTTCCTTTATATACAGCACCAAATCCTCCTTCACCCAACTTGTCTTTGAAATTTCTTGTCATATTTTTTATTTCTTTGTATGAATACCTAATTGGCATTAAGGTACTCCTTCGAAGAAAAACTTCAATATTTTCATAGATTGATATATGACTTTTCCGATACGTATATACCAAAAGTATAGAGAAAATTATAACACCCAATACAAATCTTGGAGCCAAGAATGGCAAAATATATCTTCCTGTCACTCTTCCTAACTCGATGGAAATTTTAGAATCTATATTTTCTGGATTTGAACTTGAGTTTTTTGTTATTCCAAATATTTGTAGTACTCCTGTGATGATTACATGAAGAACCAACAATTAATACAAAATTTATATTTGATCAAGAGTAGACTTAGGTCCTTGGTCGGAGTTGTGGTAGCACGATGGAGGGTGATAATGCCTTATATAATGGAGGGTGATAATACCTTATTAGTGAGTTCGTAATTGAAAAATTGTGATGCCAGTAATAGTGTTATTCTCATTCATTTTCATATGTTTTTTTTGATGCTTTGTAATATTTTCGATTTATTGTAACTCGATTTATTGTGTTGTCATTTTGTTTGTAATTTTGGTTATTGTTTTAGAATTGTACAGTGACTCACCATCTATATTTAATAAAGATTTGAGTTCATCACAACGTGTTTTTATCATGAATATGTTGTGGATTATGTGCTTGCAGATATGAATTCTCCAAAAGATTCATTTAATGTTTTGATGGTGACAACAATAGTCAAAGACAACTTTCAATCTTGATGATGGTGTACTAAATAAAAAGACAACTTTTAAAAGGAGACTCAAGATCAAAGTTCTTATATATGATCAAAAGCAATCTAGTAAAGAATCTTAAAGCCTCAAATGAAGTGTGAAAACTCGTCAGGTCATGTCTGTCTGAATGATCAGAGTATTCTAAAAGTAAAGGACTAGGTTAAAAGTACTAAGAAAAATCACACATACACCTAAAAATTTCTTCTCAAATGTTTTTGTAGGGAAATCACTTTCTAAGTCAAGGCAAGTGATTAAAAAGTTGTCCAAACCTTTTTCAAATTGATTTTTAACTAACTAATCCATTTGTTGAATGGTACAAATCGATTGGGGAAATTTTTCTGGTTCAACCAATTGATTGGAGCATTTAGCCAATCTATTGGAGAATGGCTAATCGATTAATAAATAACTTATGACACCACATTAATAAATATTTTCATTTTGGGCTCATTAATCGATTAGAAATGAGTTAGCAAATCGATTGAAGCTTTCTGCCAATCGTTTTTTCTCATTAATTTAACTCATGGATCATTTCTATGTTTGTATTTTCCAACTACTATATACAGGAGGCTCACATCACACCATTTTTCAATATTTTACTATTCATTTGAAATTTATCAAATTTATTTTTTCTCCCTAAAACAATATTTCGAATACTTAATAATTAGTGCTTGTAAGTGAAGATTTACTTGTGAGGAAGAACTTTTATAAGTGATTGTGTTGTTTGTTAAATTCTTGGGAGTGGATTACCCTTGATAAGATTGATCTTGATTCGTGAGATTAATCAATCATAAAATCTTTGTTGTAGTTTATTGAGCTTTGTCAGAAAAAATTCTGATTTTTTGTTATTGAGATCAGCCTGAAAATCTCTAAGAAGGTTCTAATTTAGCATGTGGTAAAACTTATTAGTGGTTGGTGATATGCTTGTGAAAATCTCAAGATAAACTTATTTAAAGGTTTGTGGGGATAATCAATAAAAGCTCACAAAATTTATTGTTAAAATCTCAAGAAGACTTCTTAGGGACAAGAATAGGTCAACGTTCGGTCAAACCTGTATATATCTCCGGTGTAATCTCTCTAACCCTACTCTTTTAATTTTCAAATTTTATTTTTTCTTATATTATTTCCAATATATTTTACTCAAACAAAATTACTAGTACGTTCGTAATCGAGAAAAGGATAAAATAAATCACGAATTTTAAAATTAATGTTGTTGTTATTGAAGGTTTAATGTTGTTGTTGTTGTTATTGTTGTGCTATCCTAATTGGTCACATATGTCGTTCAAATTATATATGTTTAATGGTCGGGTGTCATTCATAGATGAAGACTTTAGGATGTTCACTCGAGAATGTTTACTTTGGGTTTTGTCCATTATGTTATATTCTCTTATGTTCAAGAATTTTCACTTTGTTTTATCCATTCTGTTTTGTTTAACTTTGTGTTATCCATATATTTCACTTTGTGTTATCCATTATGATTAACTTGTGTTATGTTTCAAAATAATCATTATGTTCCATCTCAAAATAACTTAGATTCGATTCTATTTCAAAAAACTACAAGTTAAAATGATTTTTTTATATTCAAATATAATAAAAAAAATTGGATTTACCATCGGTTGTAAATAAAAACTGAGGTAAAATGTCTCAATTTATTCCCTCGGATAAGAAATAATACCGAGGGGAAATGTGGGGTGCGGTTGAAAAGGAAAAATGTTATTTCTAAGGATGAAAACTATGATCATTTGCATATTTCCCCTAGGATGAAAAAATAATTAAGCGGAAAAGTGACACATTTTCCATGTCACACTTCTTTACTTTACCTACATAACTGAGGTGAATCACTTTACTAAACGAGGTAATATTACTTATTTGTAGTAGTGAATCATTGATTATTTCTTGGACGAAGTGTTGATTTTTGACTTTGTGTTCATCGTCTAATCAAAGGAGAAAGACTTTTGTGAAGTGCTAGCAATCTCAACTATTGCTAATAAGGAGGATGTCATTTTGGAACCTTGCGTGGACACCTAGAAGGTATGAATGAGGCAACCTCATGGAGTGATAAGAAATTCATTTTCCATGTATGCATGTGTTATCTTAAACACAAAGATAAATGAGACTTCACCCCATTGAGTCAGATGTCTGAAGGCAATCAACATCGTCCCTCCCAACCTCATCCTAGTAGTCGGGGTTCAAAATTATGTGTCATGATCTAGTGATTACTCCTATTGGAGGTGTGTTTTTCTTTTTGTTCTTCTTGTTCTTTTTTTTTTGTTCTTGTTCTTCTATGTGATAATAAGGCTAACAAAGAGAACTGGATATCCATTAAACCCTTTCTAAATAGGGGTTGTTCTCCTTATAATGCTCGAACTACAATAATTTGAAGAGGAAGATTTTTTTTTCATTGCATGGCAATAACAATTGCATAAAGGCTATTTTAGATAAAGAGGGAGGCTATTAGTTTCAGTTTTATTGGATAGGGATCACGTGTGAATCTTTGGCTTTGAATATGACAGAGAGTTTGAGAAAAAAAAGTAAATGATAAATGTTAGGGATCTAACGAAAGTGAATGGCGACCATGTGGGACTCGAAGCTTTCATACGTAAGTTTATTTTATGATTTCAATATCGGTTTTTGTTATTATTATGTTTGATTAATTTTTAGGTTTTGCTCACACATAAAGAATGGCACATGTGTCATTAGCATAAAGGAAAGCCTTCCTTGATAAATCCAAAGCAAAGAGAGCCTGATGACAGTCCATCATTACATCTAATTAGGCAAAAATTCAGGGGAAACAAGCAAAAGATAAGCCAAAATGAGAAAGAAAGATCCAAGAATGAGTGAAAAATAGCCAAGCATGAAAGAATGAGACTTAGTGAAAATTTTGGTGAAAAAGGATTAACATTTAAGCAGCTACTAGAATAATCACGCACGTCATCGCGTGCTATCGCGTGCGTGATAGAGATGGAAGAGTCGCATCACGCGTGCAATGCTTATATAATGTGCGCGATGGGCGCTTGCTTTTTCTAACGCGTTTTGAGTGCTTTTTAAGGGGGTTTTCAATAGTCTGTCAAGGGTTACAAATTTTGGAGACTGAAGCATGAGTTTGAGAGCATAAATGGTGACTTTGAGGGCATTTGAAGCCATTGGAGGCAATCTCTTCCAGAGACTTCGTATGTTATTTCATCTGTCAATTGTGGTATTTTAATTGCAGTATGAGTAGCTAAATTATCCTAGGTTAGGTTGTGTTATGATGAACCTATTTCTATATTGTTTGATTCTATGTTGATTTGATCATTGTATGAAACTATTGATCTATAATTCTATTCGGTTGTTTCTAAATCTTAATGCTTTTTATTTGAGATACTCTGTTAATTTGATATTGGACATATAGGGATTACTGACCTTTATCCTATGTGTTGGACCTAAGGAAACTATTCTATTTACACTAGTCGAATAGGGATAGAAGACCTCGATTATTGCCATAGGGAGTTAACGTTCTATACATCTCCTAACCATGCTTACGCTGACAGACTAGGGATAGGAAACTCCGAGTAGTGGTTAGTGAATTATTTCATAAGGGATCAACTATAACGGTCTAGTTAATTCGTCGTGGGTTATAGTGATTAGATCATTCTTACAGGGCATTAAAATATCAACAATAGAGAAATAGGGGATTCTACTGTTAGGTGGACACGTATTAGTGTTTTAGTATTTGTTTTAGTCTACTGTTTTATAGTCTGTTTGAATAAGACCTATTCTTTAGGAGAAATAGGGTTTGTTACTTATTTTACTACTCTGTAGGCATGTAAAGAGTAGAGTTAGTTATTTCCTTTTGCTTGTAAGATGGCTATATATTAGCCACTGATTAATCGAATAAAAATTCCTCCACTCACTTTTGTAGCTTTGTTAAAATCTGATTTCTAACATTTGGTATCAAGAGCTTTCGAAAGGGGCTGTAGGAGTGTGAGAGTGAGTGAAGCATGACAACCTCTGAGAAATTTGTGACTCCAAGATTTGACGACCATTACGATCATTGGTCGATGTTGATGGAGAATTTCTTGAGGAGCAAAGAGATGTGGAACCTGGTGGATGAAGGTATTCCAGCACCAGCAATCGGGACTTCGGTGGCAAGTGAGGCTCAAAGGAAAAGTGTCGAAGAAACAAAACTCAAAGATCTGAAAGTTAAGAACTATCTCTTTCAAGAGATTGACAGAGAGATCATGGAAACCATTCTTGACAAAAGAACATCAAAGGCGATATAGGATTCGATGAAGCAGAAGTACCAGGGATCAACCAAAGTAAAGAGAGCGCAGCTGCAGGCATTGAGGAAGGAGTTTGAAATGCTGGTTATGAAAGAAGGAGAAAGGATCGATAGCTTCATTTCACGAACCCTCATGGTGATAAATAAAATGAAAGTGAATGGAGAAGATATGAAGCAAAGCACACTGGTGGGTAAGATTTTGAGATCTTTGACTCCCAAGTTCAATTATGTTGTATGTTCAATTGAGGAGTCAAATTGCATAGATAC